AATTTAGACGAAATCCCAATAGAGGACATAGACATACCAAAAGACAATGAACCTTCCAAAACTCAAAATATCAGATGATGATCATACTGTACATTCCAATTCGGATGATAACCCTGTTATAGGAATCCCTATAGTAAAATATGAAGTAAATTATGGAAAAAACCAAATAATAAAAGACTCAGTCCTTCATTCACCAGCGAAACCCAAAATAAAAATTATTTTTGATAATAAGCAAATATAATATAATATAATATACAAATTTCACAAAACAATGCCGAATAAGATATTATTGACTTTATTAAGGAGTACATTGCTCCAGGAGTAGAAGATTATTTATATTTTGAGGAGTCTACCCTCTAGGAACTTTTTCAGTTTGTTTACAAAAACACTTTAAATCTTCCTTAGTAAAATTTAGAAAATGTTATGAAAAATTAATAGAAGTTATCGATAAAACAGACATACTTGAGACTATAAAGAAATATCACAAAGGAAAAAAAACATCGTGGTATTGAAGAAACTTTAAATCATTTCTTCTTCTTTCTTTTTATCCTACAACATCACATATACTTGGTAATTGGTTCATGGCCCAAATCTTATATAATAAATAATAAATATTTCTTCACTCATAGTTTGCATCTTATTACCTATACCCTGTCATAAGTTTATCCAAGAATTTTTTGTTATTACTTACCACCACCTGTAGAGGCCTTAACTTGACAGGTCTCCTTTCAAAAATGTTAGGTTAAGTAACACTACTAATTATTTTTAAAAAACAACAATGTGTTTAAAATAAGCCTTCTCTTTTAATCTGTTTAATGTATGTTTTGTTTTGTATAGTCTTGAAAATTTTAAATTTTTAACTATTTAAACTGACTAATATTTGTTTTTCAAATATTTTTAACTTTTATATAACTTGTAACATTGTTTATTTTACAATTTATTTCATCCCCCACATTTGATGAAACTTGTTTGTAGTATTCCCTAGTGGATGGAGAGTATGTTGAGTTTTCTTTTTTACTATTTTATATATCGTTGGCTCAAAGTTAACACACCTTACACCACATATTCTCCTTTCCACTAGGCGAGCCTGAAGATGAAGTGATGATACTTCGAAACCGGTCGCACTCAATGTTTTATTGAATAAATAAACATTAACTTTCCTTGTGAGATATAAAGGACTTTTTCTCCCCCTTCACCTTATAATAAAATTCTTTTCCCATCATGACATATCTAAACAAATAATCTTAGACAACGGTACGGAGTTCAAAAACTCAATTTTGACAGAAAAATTAGGACTTCATAAAATTAAAATACACTTTTGTTCCCCAGACCATCCTGAATCTAATGGAATAATAGAAAGATTCCATTCTACGATAAGTGAGCATTTACGTTTACTAAATACTCAAGGTTTTTCAGATACCCCAATTAAAAATAAAATAATCTATGCAATTTTAGCATATAATAATATCATTCATTCCGCAACGAAATTAAAACCCATTGACATTATTAACGGACATATTATGGACAACGAACCTTTTAATATAGATTTGGATAGATTACTTTTAAATTATTACGTAAATAAATATAAAAGGCAGACAAAAATATTATACACAAAAATAAATGAACACTTACGAGAAAACAAAAAAGATTATGTCGAAAAAATTAATACAGATCGTGAAGACCCCAAAGTATTTGAACCTTACCCCACTGCGTATATTAAAAATACAAAAAGACAGAAAAGTGCTAATAAATTTCAAAAACCAATTGCTATTAAGTCAGTTAATAAAAAATTAAAAACAGTAACCACTTCAAAACATGGCAAAATACACATGAGTATATTAAACGCCCACTGAAAAGACTTTATTCTTTCGATAACTAAATTTTATCTTTTCAGGTTGCCTTGCATACTAGGACTACCAGACACTATAACATTAAAAAATTTAAGTAAAAATTCCGGACTTTTACCCTTAAAACTTGGCAATGCAAAAGTAATTAAATATTATCATTCAATAATTTATTATTATGATTTAAATCATTTACTTAACGAAATCGACGGGCTAAAAACTAAATCTAGAAATAGAACTAAGTCAGTTCAACAAAATAAAGACTATAGGACAGATAATTCAAATTATTTTAAATTATCACACTTTTAAGAAGATAAAATAGAAATTAGATTAAACGAAATTATACCGCATCCCAAAGAATAAAAAGAGGATTAATAAATGGAGTAGGTTCTATATTTAAAGCAATCACTGGAAATCTAGATGCCAGTGATGGAGAACATTACGATAAACTGATTAAACAGCTTCAATCAAATCAAAATAAACTAAAAGACTCTATTGAAACTCAAAATTCATTAGGAATATCATAAATAGATAATTTCAATAAAACAGTTCGAACAATAAAATATAATCAAGATTTATTAGCTAGTAAAATTGATACAATAACCATATTGGTACAAGACCAATTTAAATGGGAAAATAGTATTTATATAAAAGATACAATTATCCAAATTATTAATATGTATGAGTTATTAAATTGAATACTGCAAGATATTGAAAACTCGATATCATTTGCACAACTTGGAGTATTACATCCCAGCATAATTACAATCAGATTTATTCAGAATTTTAGAAACCGTATTTAAAGATTATAATTAAAAATCTGATGTGTCCAACACATGACTTTCCTATCTAGTTATTACAGGCTTTTTCCGGTTAGTTTGTACAACCTATTGCAGCACCTCTATAAATGTTTAGAGGATAAAATAAATATATACATTTTCCACATACATCTACCTAGAGACATTTTTCTATAGATATTCATTGAAAATGAAAATACTGAAAAATTTAAATTTAGCACTTTTCTTACAATTTTTTCATTACGGTCCATTTTAGAAAAATCATGTATAAACAAAAATTATAGAGATCGATATCGCAAACAACTTTTATTTCAACAAATTTCATAAAAATCAGAATTTTGCACATTTTGTCAAATTTCTCGAATACGGACCATTTCAGGAAATTTTGACATAAAGCAAAAATTATAGATAATAATATTAGAAATAACTTTTATTTAAACAATTTTTTTCTCCAAACATAAATAACAGATATATTCCATAAAATATAAAAACAGCCCCCCATAAAGTACCCCCCAGATGTTCCGACTTTGTCCAAAATCTAATCATTTCATGTCAGGCCGAAATAAAACTTAAGATTAAAATTTAATGTTTTTTTCTTTATCCGTTTTTGAGTTTTCTTCAAATTTCGAAATTTACACATTTTCTCAAATATCTCGAATACGGTTCATTTTAGAGAAATTATGTATAAATAAAAATTATACAGAATTATATTACAAACAACTTTTGTTTGATTAATTTTTATAAAAAAATATTTTTTTACATTTTGTCAAATTTCTCGAATACGGACCATTTTAAGAAAATTTTGTATAGAACAAAAATTTTAGATAATAATATAAGAAGTAACTTTTATTTGAAGAATTTTTTTCTCCAAACGTAAATAACAGATATATTCCATAAAATATAAAAATGAAAACCCATAAAGTACCCCCCCAGATGTTCCTACACTGCTCAAAATATAATCAGCACATTGGACGCTGGAAAAAAGCTTAAGTTTAAAATTTGGTGTTTGTCTGTGTATCGGTTCATGAGTTATGCGACACACAGACACACACACAGACACACACACAGACACACACACAGACACACACACAGACACACACACAGACACACACACAGACATCATCGCGAAAATAGTCAAAACGGATTCAGGGGACCTCAAAACGTAAAAATCCGTCGAAAAAAATGATGATTCCTATACTTTCCTTATATCTGTATACAGATAGGAAAGTAAAAAGAAATACCAGTCAGTTTAAGCTTAAGTAATGTATTATTTCTGCAAAAGATTATAAAAATATCCTACTTTCTTTCTAATAATAGAATAACGTATATATTGCATATTCCAATAACTATAACTGTAGATTTAACTCTATATAATTTATATCCTATATAAAAAAAGGTCAGTTTAAGGCGATTAACCCGGAAAATAAATATGCTGTACAAAATAAATTGTACTGTGCTTATTCGAGTAACTCCTGAATCAAGTTGTCCAGCCAAAATTACATTTGTAACCTAACCAGTCTCAGAAAAGTAAATCAGAACAGCTCCTGCGAAATCCAACTTCTAAACTACGAAACCACCTTCACATGCCCGCAAGTATCCATAGCCGTATCACGCCCTTCTTTTACGAGGTTAGAACAAACGAATCAATGGATTTTGGTCCTACCCAAAGAAATTACGCTAACCCTTAAATGTAATTCTCAAGAAGAAATAATTAAGAAGTTTGGAGTAGCAGTAATTCCCACAAATTGTCAAATTATAACTGAGGAAGAAACCATTGTTATTGCCGAGTCAAATTCATTCGAAAATCAACCAATTCTATTTCCCAAAATGGACGACCAAATTGCCGAAAAAGAATGGTCCACTCCCAATATCAAATTGCAACGCATCAATCTAGATGACTCTATGAGAAAACATAATTCAAAATCAACCAAATTTCGAATCCAAAACCATTCCATATGTACCAAGCTTATGGACTATTATTATTTATTAAAATAACCAAAAAAGGTTGACAGCTGTGTTCACGTAGTTTAGATTCAAAAGGAAAGACTTGTATTTTGTGCAAAACTTTTTAATTAATAAATGCAAAGCGCTTTCGGCTTATTTGTCATCAGTGCTTATTGTCCACAACGTATCCAACAAGTTTCTGGTCATCCTCATTCCCAAAATTAGATATTTCGGGATATTTATAAGTTGTTTAAGGTTATGTGGAAACGGTTAATCAACTTTAATTTGATTTTCTGTATGTACTCTGTGTCGATATCTACAACAAAAGATTAGGGGTAATTTCTAATAATCTGTTAAATTAGAATTAAACAGAACCATGAAATATTGTTTTTAAAATATTTCATTTACTTTTCAGGGTTGACGAACAACAAAAATTCTTAAATATTAAAGGAAATTTATCTAAATACGAAGCGAATGCAACATTTCCGATTATTATTCCCAAAAATGAATCAATGTTATATTTAAACCTCACAGAAAATCTAAAAACAGCTGATACCAAACAAAGTCAGACTTTTTCATGGTATTACGGAATGTTGCTAGCCTCGACCGGCTTGGAAATCGTTAAAACTTTTATTATGTTCGATTTTTGTCGAAAAGCTTCTATTAACATCCATGTTAATTTGATTAAAAAAATATTCAACGCCGTGATGTTGTTCTTCGACACTCATTACATTGGAGTCATTCTAAACAGACTATCACAGGATTTGGTTAATATGGATGAAAATATGTGCTACTTATTGAATTACACCTTTGAAGTGAGTTAAATTTTTTATTTTGTATCGAAAATCTAATTCATTTAATCCTGCTAAGTTCCTTTTAACCCATAATTTCAAGATCCTTAGATTTTATTAACCACATTTGCACCTGGTCCAAATTCTAACATTTTTTCTGTAGGCCAGTAAATAGAGACGTACAAACCAAAAAATTTAACATTAATTCTAACATTCTCAGAAGAAGAAATAACAAAAATAGAAATACAAAAGAACAATCCAACGTAGGTTCAAAAAAAAGCAAACTTGAAAACACCCAAATAAAAACGCTTAATAAAGAATTACACAAAAATAACAACCAAAACAAATATTACCACCACCAATAAAAGTTACTCAGATCAAAAACTTTGAAGGGTTAAGATAAAAACTAATAAGTAAGCAACACAATTTTGTAGCTACCATATTTAATAATGATAAAATCAAATTAAACGTAAGTGATAAACAAGAATATAGAACAATGACTATTGATATCTCCAACCAAGGCTATCAATGGCATTCATATGAGATGAAGCAAACCCGATCAATAAAAGTGATGGCTAGAAACCTACACCCTACCTGCAAGCCAGAAGATATAGCTGAAGCATTAAAGCACAGTGAATTTAACATCTTGAACGTGGTTAATATCCAACCGAAAGAAACTGAAGAAGAATAAAGAGGAAATCAAGTTACTCGTATAAGATCTGCTAGAAAAAAAACATTGCTGCTTTTCATGTTAACATCTGAAAACGGCGAAGACAATAAAGTAGCTTTTACCCAAGCAATATTGTGACATTATAAAATCCTACTTGATTGATAGAATCTTCCGAGTAAAACAAGAAGAAGAATATTCCACGCTTAAAGAAACTAAAGAAAGTATTCTGGGGCTAGTTATTTACCTGTTGTTTACCTCCGACATACCACAATAGCAAAATGTGAAAGTATCTACATTTGCCGAAGACACATATATACTTGCTATCGGCAGAACCATGGGAAAATCGACTAGAAAACTTCAACAAGGAATTAATAAAATCTACGAGTAGACAAAAAGATGGCGCATTAAGCTCAACGAAACTAAAACAGTTCAGATTAACTTCACTAATAAAAGATCAATAGAATACCTATCACTGGTATTAAATAATACTAAAATTGTGGTGAATCAACCTTTATTATGTTGGAAATCTTCAATTGTTGTTGAATTATGTTAATTTAGTTGAATAAAGCCTATTACTTTCGGGTTAAATCTCTATTTGACTAGAATTTATTCAACTAAATTAAAAAAAAGGAAAAGTATCTATATCCTGAGAAGTTTGATGTCAATCCGGTATCAAACACTGACTCCGCCACAACGTCACAATGAAAACACTGAAAGACAACTTTCAAACATTTTCTTAAAACCTTGTCAACTGGCTCCAATGGGGAAAACCAGCAACCGGAACCACTATCAGATACAACTAAGTATCAACTCATGGTAAATCACCTTTCTTCAACTGTTTTTCATTACATAAAAGATGCAGAGACATATGATATTTCGAGAGTAGATGGTATTTTGATAAAATCAAAGAACGAAATGTATGCACGCCATCAACTGGCCAAGCGTGAACAGCAGCCTTGTGCATCGATTGACCAATTCATACAATCATTAAAAGTTCTAGCCAAGGAATGTGGATTCAAAGTAGTATCTTTCATACAAAATTAACTTACTTACTTACTTAATATCTTTATTTACATTTTAATCAAATATATGTACATGTCATGGTATGTATAAACAGTTTTTCACACTACCGAACCCGAGCGGCGGGTTTTTCGCGAGAGCCCTCCGGACTATGGTGGGTAAGGATACCCACCATTTGCACAATACACCCACGACTTAATAATTGTGCAAATATCAGCCCTTACTCCTTACCGAATCGGTATTATTAAGGGGTTTGGATTTTTTGGTATCAGGAATGGGAGGTTATTTAAGGATTTGTCGTGTATTTTGTTATTGTTTTTGTCCCCTGAAAAATCTAGAAAAAACAGGATTGTCCTTGAATGTGCGTTTGTTTGTAATCGTTTGTGGTTGTTTAGTACAACTCACAGGCAGAGTGTTCGATACACCGTCCATCGTGGCAGCTTTCTCGGATTTCGCATCTGCTGCCTCGCTGGCCAGTCTACCGTTCAGTCCGCCTTCCGACCAGTATGCTTAAATACCTAGTCGTCGTGAGCTGTTGTTAGTTTGTTTGGGATAGGAGGAATGTTGTCAGTTACTGTCTGAATTTATTGTCATCTGTCTCTGTATATGTTAAGTTTTGCGTGTATACAGCCATGCTTTCTACGCACTCCGTCCCCTCGGTGTATGTTTAGGATACTATCCTTTACATCATTGGGGAGACATCGTTTGTAGAAATCATCGCCTGTTTTTAGTATGTATTCTTTAATGTGTTGAGTGTCAGTTTGTCGGTGCATTACTGCGATTCTGGCATAACGATCATAGCCCAGGGCTAGCCGAAGACACCTGTTTTGAGCTATTTGCAGTTTATTGAAATGACAGTTTGCCATTAGGCAAAAAACTGGACAACCATATGTGAGAATAGGACGTAGGATTGATTTAAACATTAGGAGTTTGTTTGACAGAGTGACTCGACTTCTCCTATTGAGAAGGGGGTAAAGCGTTTTGATTGCCGCGTGGTTTTTAGCCACTCTGTCATTAATGTGTAAATTGTAAGTTAATCCCCTGTCTAACAGGAAACCGAGGTATTTAAGTTTGTTAGAGGTCGGTATCTCCTGTTCGCCGATTTTAAGTGGGGTCATTATGCCTTGTGTTCGCCTTTTGGTGATTAACATACTTTCGGATTTTGCCTCGTTGATTTTCATTTTGTTTCCTGTTAGATAGGGGATTAGTTCTCTGTTAATATGATTGTCCACCTTTCATACCGCTCTCTCTGCAGATCTGTTGTTCGCGAACAGACAGATGTCGTCGGCGTATAGTGCCGTTTGTACCCCATTATTACCCATTGGCATGTCATGGGTCATAATGGTGTACAAGTGGAGCGACAATACTGAGCCCTGGGGTACTCCCGCTTGTGCCGTGTAAGGTCCTGTTATTTTCTTGTTAATTTTTACGTTAAATTGTCTGTCTGTTATGTATGAGTGTATTATTTTTGCAATGTGGACGGGAAAATCACTCACAAGCATTTTGTGAATTAGACCGCAGGTCCAGACGGTATCAAAAGCTTTTTCACTGTCTAAAGCCACTAGTACTGTTTGCAGGTTATTATTTAATGCCTCTTTGGCATTGTGTACAATTCTAATAACCTGTGCCACGGTACTGTGTCCACTTCTAAAACCGTACTGTTCCCGCGGTATAATTTGTAGTTCGTCTTCAATTTTGTGTAGTCTGTTAAGTATGATTTTGTCAACAATTTTAGCTACTGTGTTAAGCAACGAAATGGGTCGATAACTGTCAACATTTTTAGGGTTTTTCTTTGGTTTTACTATGGGGATGATGTTTGCTATCTTCAGACTGCTAGGGTAGTGTTGCAGCCTAAAGATTGCGTTTATAATGTAGTTTAATTGTACAAGCCCCTTTCTAGAGATATTCTTTAATAAGACGTTGCAAATGTCATCTGGTCCCGGAGCTTTTCTATTTTTTAATCGTTTAATAGTTTCTCCTATTTCTTTTGGTGAGGTATAAAAAGAATGGGGTACGTGTACTGGTCCTGAATTGCTAAGGTCTTTAACTAGATTTTCAATGTTATTTTGAACTTCGTTGTTTTGTTGTGTATTTCTGAAAATATTTCGAAAGTGTTCGCCGAAGGCCTGACCTTTTTGTTAGTCTGTTGTGTATATGTTCTGTCCTTGATTCAAAGTGGGCAGCAGTGAATGAGGTTTTTTATACGTTTTCACCACCTTCCACAGTGAATTGTCGTTAGGGTTGATTTCTGACAGGGTTTTTTGTCAGATTTTATTTAGATGTTCGTTAATCGCGGTGTTTATAAATTTTGCAATGTCCATAAGTCTAACCCTGTTTTCGTCTCGCCTGTGTTGCTGCCACCGTTTTCTAATTTGATTTTTGTTTGTTATGAGTTCGAGAATTTCCGGTGGCAGTGTGTCTTGGTGTTGTGTTGTCGTTGACAAAATTAACAAGACTGTAGAAGAGATGCATTTATTGCTAGCTTGACATCGAGCTCTATACGACAGAGGCTTCTAGAAAGCAGTTCCATCCAATTTGATGAAGCGCGCCAACAAGCCAGAGCACTACAGTTTACATATATTCACAACACCGCCTAAGCAAGTGAATCAAACGCCTTTCCTTCAAACAATTTAAATGTATTGCCATCCATCTACATCAAAAGATTCTGTTTTTTATTAATTTTTATTAATTTTTATTAATTTTTATTAATTTTTATTAATTTTTATTAATTTTTATTAATTTTTATTAATTTTTATTAATTTTTATTAATTTTTATTAATTTTTATTAATTTTTATTAATTTTTATTAATTTTTATTAATTTTTATTAATTTTTATTAATTTTTATTAATTTTTATTAATTTTTATTAATTTTTATTAATTTTTATTAATTTTTATTAATTTTTATTAATTTTTATTAATTTTTATTAATTTTTATTAATTTTTATTAATTTTTATTAATTTTTATTAATTTTTATTAATTTTTATTAATTTTTATTAATTTTTATTAATTTTTATTAATTTTTATTAATTTTTATTAATTTTTATTAATTTTTATTAATTTTTATTAATTTTTATTAATTTTTATTAATTTTTATTAATTTTTATTAATTTTTATTAATTTTTATTAATTTTTATTAATTTTTATTAATTTTTATTAATTTTTATTAATTTTTATTAATTTTTTATTAATTTTTATTAATTTTTATTAATTTTTATTAATTTTTATTAATTTTTATTAATTTTTATTAATTTTTATTAATTTTTATTAATTTTTATTAATTTTTATTAATTTTTATTAATTTTTATTAATTTTTATTAATTTTTATTAATTTT